AATCACACAATACAGACAATTAAATTAAACTTCAGCAGCACTGAAATCAATTCCACAGGACCGTGGCTGGCTAGCCACCTGCCCCTTCATCATCTAGGAAGCACATGATCAGCCCTCTCTAGAGACCCTATATTTTGCAGAGTGCCTGCAAAGTCACCAACTTTTGGTTATTTCAGAACAAGAGAGGGAGCAAGTTCCAGAGTCCTGAAGCCCTCATAGAGAATGATCTACCAGCCTTTTATAATGAGGGGGACCAGCCTGAACAGCCCTGCTGGCCACAGCTATGGCAGTATGGCAATGGTAGAGGCGATCCCTCAGTTTAGGCTAGTCCCAGGCTATTTCGGGCATTATAGATCATGACCAACACCTTAAACTCCACTTGGAGACCAATGGGAAGCCAGTGCAGGTCCCAGAGCAATGGGGTCACGTGCTCCCAGTGAGATGTCCCTTCAATAAGAGAGCATATACATTCAGCACAAGCTTCAGTCTTTGAGTAGTTTTAAGGTGCAGACCACACTGCAATAGTTTAATCTTGAGGTGACAAAAGCATGGATACGCTATGGAAAGAAAAGGTCACAACCTCTTAGGCAGTCAGTTGTTTATAAATGTTATAGTACGTTTGTTGAAAACAACAGGCAATATGAGTATAGTGAATTATTTTTTAATACTTTTCAAGAGTATTTTTACCTACCTCTTTAGTAAGTTATGTAATAGATTAACCTAACATAACTGAAAGACGAAATATATAGAAATTAACATTGAGATATTCTAGTTCTCATAGTACCATTTCTTAGAGAATTGCTTAATAGCTTCCTTACATAATTTTAAAAAGTGTGAGAGAGAGTTAATTCTCTGAGCAGACAAAGACATTATTTTGATCTGTTGCCAAGGCACAAGCCCTTGCTAGTTTTATTCCAAATTAACTCTTCTGGAATGAGCCTGCTCAGTCTCCAGTGCCAGAATGGGCTTTAACTTTAAACCAAATAAGGCAGCAGCTTGCCAAACTTGGAGGTGACGTTTGATTCTAGCTATTAACATGGAGCTGAGCCACAGATGAATGAATGACAAACAATTCCTTACTTCCAGCGAGCGTTACAGTTCTAACCTAACAGTTTCTATCAAATTTGCTGTCAGAACATAAAAACAAAACCTCTAGATACATTTCAATACACTAATTAGATAAAGAATGTAATTTCCATTCAGAAAACCTACACCTTGTAGAAACACATCTCCCCTTTAAATCGAAAATATAGAAATACTTTGTGATTTAGTTATTAAATACAAAAAACACATTTAAATGATGCCAGGTTTGAAACACAATCTAACAACAGAAAGGAAACTCCCATGTAACATGATAACTATATCCTTAATTCATGCTAGAGTGATAAAGGCACAACAGAGATATTATCAAGGTTAGAAGATTCAAAATTTCAGGCAGTCAATACTATGATAATGGGAGGGATGGACGGATGGATGGATTTGTCGTATTTTTATATCTGTTGCAAACACAAGGTAGGCTTGGGTTTTCAAAGGAGTCTAAGAATATTAAGTGCTTAAATTCCAATGAACTTCAAGGTGAGTGAGGCATCTAATTCCCTTAGGGACCTTTAAAAATCCCAGCCATATTTTATATGTGCCTCTTTCCCTTCCTTCACCATACACTTCAGTGTTCTTTTTAAAAAGATATTTTAAAAAATCAGAGTCAAAATCTCAGACAACATGAAAGCCCTACAAAAAAACAGTGTGCCCAGAGAGGCAACATTGGGTTTATTTTAATAATTCAGTTTCCAGCTTCTTAGTTGTTTAGAAAAAAATCACTTAGAAATAAGAAATTTCACAAATTTACAAAAAATGTCATGTCAGCAAAATGTTATTTTTGTATTTAATGTTTCTTTGTTAATTTATGACAGACCTTTAATGCAGGCCTTAAAAAACTCCAAGATGCCTACTCACCACTGCAAAGCGGCAAGCTTCCATGACAAGTAAGAGGGGGGTCAAGTCTTCAACTTCTGCAGGATTTTAAGAAAAAGTTCTAGCCCCTATGGTTGCAAAGGTGAGCCAGATATAAACCAATATAGTGCTGTCTTCCTACAGACTGCTCCAGTGAATTCCAGCATTAGAATGAAATTAATAAGAATCTGATCAGTTTCAGTCTTGCTATTCAGAATCTCTGGGCAGCAGGAGCAAGCACTGCAGCTATGCACAAGGGAGGAAGACTGGAAAAATAGAGATTGAGGCCTGGTCTACACTACAGAGTTGGGTCGACATAAGGCAGCTTATGTCGACCTAATTATGTCTGTGTACACACTACAGCCTTGTCCCGCCAATGTAAGTGCTCTCCTACATGGACATAATAATCCATCTCCACCTCCACAAGAGGCATATGTCGGTTTTTTTAGGGTGATGCAGGGTAGGTCTATACTCTGGGGCTCAGCAATTTCAGCTACGTGAATAAAGTAGCGGGAGTCGACATAGCTTAGGTCGACCTTTTGCAGTGTCTACACCGCACTGGGTCGACAGGAGAAACCCACCCATTGACTTACCTTATGCTTTTTGTTCTGGAGGAGTACCGGAATCGACAGGAGAGCAATTGATGATTGATTTAGCGGGTCTTCACTAGATCCACTAAATCAACGCCTGATGGATCGATCACCATGCATCAATCCCCCAGTAAGTGGAGACAAGCCCACAGTGTCTGTGTAGACACTGTGTTATTTACATTGGCTGTCTTGTCAATTTCACAGCTGCTGCCAGGAGGCTCCCAGCTCAGGGAGCCGAGAAGCCTGGGCAGCTGGCCTCCGCTCCCAGCCAGAACTCAGGTGGGCTACTGCCAGGGAGCTGTGCCGCATCACTTCCCGCAGCTCCCATTGGCCAGGAACGGTGAATTGCGGCCACTGGGAGCTGCAGGCAGTTGTGCAAATGTAAACAAAATGTCTGGTGGCTTGCCAGTGGATTACCCTGATGGGCCACAAGTTGCCCACCACTGCACTAGGGCATAATGTTTTGTGAAAGTATGGCCAGAGGCCCATAGTCCTGCTTAATAGATGTCAATGACTGGCACTTCATGAAGTGAGGCTACTGAAGCTGCTTTGGCTCTGGTAGAGTGAGCCCTCACATCTTGAGGAGCTGAAGTATCCACTGACTCATAACAGAGCAGGTTACAGCCTGAAATCCACTTAGAAAGTCTGAGAAGAGATTGCTTGTCCCTTCATCCATTCTGCCAATGAAACAGTCTTAGCAACCTCCCAAATGATTTTGTTTTCTGTAGGTAGAGTGCCAACACCTGGCATACATCCAAGGAATGGAGTCTCCTATCCTCCACAGGATTAGAAGGGCATCTCCCCTGGAATCCTGACCTTCGGACCTTTGAAGCAATATATCTTGTATACTATGATATAGTATTCCTGTCTTCTTGTGATGCAAACAGTTCCCAAAAAGAGATCCCCATTGTCTGAATGTGCTTTTCACCATGGAATCGCGTGCCTTATATTCGGGATTGATTGAGAAGTGTCTGCTGAGGCTGTCTGCTAATATATTGTGTAGTCTCAGGAGGGGTGCTCTTGACAGAGTAATCTGGTGGCAACTACACCAGTTCCAGAGGTTAGCTGCCTATATGTAAAGACTGTTAGATCTCACTCCCCCTTGCTTGTTGAGGTATACAGTGTTGTCATGTTGTCTGATATCACGTGAATATGATGGGATTGTATGACTGGTAAGAATTGTTTGCAGGCCTCTTGGACAACTCTCAGCTCCAGGATGTTTATGTGCATCTGGGACTTGTGAGGAGTTCATATTCCTTGTGATGTGAATTTGTACAAATGGACGTCCCACCCTAAAAGGGAAACATCTATAATCATGTTTTCTGGGGTGGGGATAAAGTGAAGGGAATTCTCACACACAAATGTTCTCTGTTCTCCCACCAAGCTAGAGAGTCCCACACTCTTGGATAGGTGCAGGGGAGAGGGAGCATGACTAACTCATCCATATTGGACAATTATTATCATTAAGCCAAATCCTTAAATCTTTACCCAGTTTTCTCTCTGTCTTTACTCTGGCAAAACTCCCACTGATTTTAGCTGATGTTTTGCCTAATTAAATACAATGGAAAAGTGGAAATTCTATCTAAGTACAAGGACTAAGCCCTTAGCAGCAATAACAGACAAGTGATGTAGAGTCAAGGTTGTCAGTGGAGAACTGGAACAACAGGAACACTTGCAGGCTAACTTTGCTAGTATAAGATACTCATGGGGAACTATACCAGCACAATAGGAAAGGAAACATCTAAGAACAGCACCACTGGAAAATCCTGTCTCTCTTTTACAATCAGATACAAAAGAAATGTGAGTCAGGATGAAGCAGAAAGATGGAAAGAAAACATCAGCTGATGCAACAGAACCAACTGGGAGCCAGAGTGAGCTGCACAAACTGAACATACCTGCATAAGAACTAAAGTCCAAGACAATGCCAAAAGAAAGAGAAGTGGTTATCTATTACACTAGTTGCATTTTTGTTTCCAAGTCTATGTATAAGAAATATCTATGACATTGGTAAACATTTTCAAGCCAGCACAAATATTTTATATGTGTACATTGTAGAAAACATTATAGCCGAAAACTTCCAATGAAGGGCTAGAAAGACTCTGTGGTCAAGTAAATGACTGTATCACAAGTTGACTGAAATGCAAAATGATCATTCAGGAGGGACAAAGCTCAATATTAATATTTCTTGTTAGGTGCAATGTTAATGATGCTGTGGTATGGTTAAAGCAAAGATAGTACAGTAATACAATCACAACACCAAAAGTGAGACCAGGTTGCTTTAAGAGAGAAACAGGAAGTTGTAACCTGAAACTTACTGAATGCTGGGCTGGGCGGTATACTGTGAAACAGCAAATAAAGTAAATCTATTTGCCATAAACTTCACAGAGCATCCAGACTTTGTTTTACCAAAGTTGGTACTCCCCCTGTGGGTGGAGGAGACAAGAGACGGGTGACGTCATACAGGAGCAGGGATAAAGTGCTGTTTCTGCAGCTGTGGGATGAGAAAAAACCTCTCAGGCGTATAAAGGATCTGCTGCCCTGTCCAGCAAAGACACTGCTGACAGGACCTTTATTCCTACAGCTCAGCCTTCAGCTCCCTTTACCAAGCTAGGGAAAAAAGAAAAATAATCCAGTAATAGTAGCGGTCAGAAAATTGTTGTACAATGCCACAGAACGTCATTCTCCCAGGACCTGCTCCTTGGGGATTCAGACTGACAGGAGGGATAGATTTTAACCAGCCTTTGATCATAACCAGGGTATGTGTTCTTTTCTATTTCCCTTTTATTTATTATTTTTAACATTGTTTTAGTTTTTGCTCTTTGACTTTTCTTGAATGAAGCAATAAACGAGTGAACTAGCTGCAGGTTGCGTTTATTACTGTTGTTCAAATTTAGAGTTGCTGAAAGTTGACAATTTTGAAATGATTTGTGTGTGTATGAATTTTAAAGAGACTGTTTTATCAGGCAAAATTTATTCATTCGACTCCTGCTCATTCCTCCACTGAAATTTGAGTGTCAAGGGGACACTGGCAAGGTAAGAGGACAGTGTGATTTCACAAAGCATTCAGATTTTCACTTTCTAGTTTCGGACCCCCAGGGAGCCAGAGACCAGCCTAAGATACCAACCATACTGCAGCTCTCACCAGCCCCAGTAACTGGCCCATGTGATCTTTGGGAGAGAGGGGGACTTGGCAGCTGTTCCTTGTGTCTGGATATTTGTATACTAATCTTCATGTCAGCTTGAGTTAAGAAGAGTTTGTAATACAAATCTTTAACCAATTCAAGATCTATGTGTTGTGAGCAAAGGCAGTGGGACCATGTTCCTACAAATGTACAGTTCTGTGTTTTCATTTAGTTTACATCAGTGATTTATTACAAAGTTATTCTATCATGAACAAGCAAGAAAAAAAACCGTATGCATTAACTAGTGGCTTTTAGTGATACTCAATATTAATCTCTTATAGTACTTCACATTTAAAGAGGATTAAGAACACAATCCCTCCTCTTTTTTATGTATTTTAAGATAGTATCCTGAAAACTGGCATTTATTTCAGAGGTTGTCACTTAATGACTGCAACACACAAAAATCTGTTTTCCATTCTTAAAGCAATAGCAAAACATATTTCCTGTCCATTAGGTAAACTTAGTTTAAGTACATATTGTTGAATAGGCTTTATGTGACATACATCAAATACCAGAATCAGTATTCTTTATTTTCTACTGGTTTACAGTACTTGCACATACTGAAAGCATGTTTCATTCTTCTCTTCCACCTCATTAACATAGTTTTGGAAGTACTGCACTGAGACTCAGAATTTAGACAATATCTTAGCGCAGTATTACGTAAGTATCAGAACTTGTAAAATAAATACCTTTGATGATGCCATGCAGTAAAAGTACGTCAAACAGGAGTTTATAGAAATGGTAAGCACCAAAATTCTACAGTAAATTACCCTAGTGTAAATCTGAAGTAACTCCATGTAAGTCAATAGAGTTACTCCATATTTATACCAGCATAACTGAGATCCCATTTTGCCCTTAAAATGTAATGCTCTTAATATATAAACTTATATGCTAAATGTTTGTTGTATGAGACATGAAAACTTTGGAGGGAAAAAAACCCATGTTGAGTAAAAAGAGTGAAAAATGTCTAGATGTATTGGGACTTTCATTGCCTTTTATGGACTTACAAGGGGGAAATAGTTTCCATTATCTCTAATGAAAAATATTTTAGCAGAGTCTGGTTTATATTTTCCCTTTGTTTAGATTATGTGCAATGAGGTTTAAAATTATACTAACAAAAGATAAATTACATTTATTCTAACTTTCTGAGGAATAAATAATTTTGCCATTGACTCATCATCATATCAGACAAAAAGCTGCTGGTTTGTAGCAAGATGTCAATGCTCATTAATCATGTGTTTCAAGTGGAAGAACTGTTGATATTATGCAAGCTGCATGGAAACTTTTTCAAGACACCATAATAGAGGCTCAACTTAAATGTATACCCCAAATTAAAAAACATAGTAAGAGAACCAAAAAAGAGCCACCATGGCTAAACAGCAAAGTAAAATAAGCAGTCAGAGGCAAAAAAGCATCTTTTAAAAAGTGGAAGTTAAATCCTAGTGAGAAAAATAGAAAAGAGCATAAATTCTGGCAAATGAAGTTTAAAAATATAATTAGGAAAGCCAAAAAAGAATTTGAAGAACAGCTAGCCAAAGACTCAAAAAGTAATAGCAAAAGTTGTTTTATGTACATCAGAAGCAGGAAGCCTGCTAAACAACCAGTGGGGCCACTCAAGGACGATAAGGCCATTGTGGAGAAACTAAATGAATTCTTTGCATCAGTCTCCACAGTTGAGGATGTGAGGGAGATTCCCAAACCTGAGCCATTCTTTTTAGGTGACGAATCTGAGGAACTGTCCCAGACTGAGGTGTCGTTAGAGGAGGTTTGGAACAAACTGATAAACTAAACAGTAGTAAGTCACCAGGACCAGATTGTATTCAACCAAGAGTTCTGACGGAACTCATATGTGAAATTGCAGGACTACTAACTGTAGTCTGTAACCTATCATTTAAATCAGGTTCTGTACCAAGTGACTGGAGGATAGCTAATGTGACGCCAATTTTTAAAAAGGGCTCCAGAGGTGACCCTGGCAATTTCAGGCTGATAAGCCTGACTTCAGTACCGGGAAAACTGGTTGAAACTATAGTAAAGAACAAAATTGTCAGACACATAGATGAAAGTAATTTGTTGGGGAATAGTCAACATGTTTTTTGTAAAGGGAAATCATGCCTCACTCATCTACTAGAATTCTTTGAGGGTGGCAAAAAGCATATGGACAAGGGGGATCCTGTGGATATAGTGTATTTAGATTTTCAGAAAGTCTTTGACAAGGTCTCTTACCAAAAGCTATTAAGCAAAGTAAGCGGTCATGGGATAAGAGGGATGGTCCTCTCATGGATTGGTAATTGGTTAAAAGATAGGAAACAAAGTGTAGGAATAAATGGTCAGTTTTCAGAATGGAGAGAGGTAAATAGTGGTGTCCCAAGAGGTCTGTACTAGGTCCAGTCCAATTCAACATATTCATAAATGATCTGGAAAAACAGGTAAACAGTGAGGTGGCAAAATCTGCAGATGATATAAAACTACTCAAGACAGTAAAGTCCAAGGCTGACTGTGAAGAGCTACAAAAGGATCTCTCAAAACTGGGTGATTGGGCAACAAAATGGCAGATGAAATTCAATGTTGATAAATGCAAAGTAATGCACATTGGAAAACATAATCCCAACTATACATATAAAATGCTGGGGACTAAATTAGCTATTACCAATCAAGAAAGAGATCTCGGAGTCATTGTGGGTAGTTCTCTGAAAACATCTGTCATAAATATAAAGGGAAGGGTAAACCCCTTTGAAATCCCTCCTGGCCAGGGGAAAGCTCCTCTCACCTGCAAAGGGTTAAGAAGCTAAAGGTAACCTCGCTGGCACCTGACCAAAATGACCAATGAGGAGACAAGATACTTTCAAAAGCTGGGAGGAGGGAGAGAAACAAATGGTCTGTGTGTCTGTCTATAGTCTGTCTTTGCCGGGGATAGACCAGGAATGGAGTCTTAGAACTTTTAGTAAGTAATCTAGCTAGGTACGTGTTAGATTATGATTTCTTTAAATGGCTGAGAAAAGAACTGTGCTGAATAGAATAACTATTTCTGTCTGTGTATCTTTTTTGTATCTTAAGGTTTTGCCTAGAGGGGTTCTCTATGTTTTTGAATCTAATTACCCTGTAAGGTATCTACCATCCTGATTTTACAGGGGGGATTTCTTTATTTCTATTTACTACTATTTTTATTAAAAGTCTTCTTGTAAGAAAACTGAATGCTTTTTCATTGTTCTCAGATCCAAGGGTTTGGGTCTGTGGTCACCTAGGCAAATTGGTGAGGCTTTTTATCCAACATTTCCCAGGAAAGGGGGGGGGGGCAAGTGTTGGGAGGATTGTTCATTGTTCTTAAGATCCAAGGGTCTGGGTCTGTAGTCACCTAGGCAAATTGGTGAGGCTTTTTACCAAACCTTGTCCAGGAAGTGGGGTGCAAGGTTTTGGGAAGTATTTTGGGGGGAAAGACGCGTCCAAACAGCTCTTCCCCAGTAACCAGTATTAATTTGGTGGTGGTAGCAGCGAATCCAAGGACAAAGGGTGGAATATTTTGTACCTTAGGGAAGTTTTGACCTAAGCTGGTAAAGATAAGCTTAGGAGGTTTTTCATGCAGGTCCCCACATCTGTACCCTAGAGTTCAGAGTGGGGGAGGAACCTTGACAACATCCATTCAATGTGCAGTGGCAGTCAAAAAAGCTAACAGAATGTTGGGAATCATTAAGAAAGGGATAGATAATAAGACATAAAATATCATATATAAATCCATGCCTCTATATAAATCCATGGTGTGCCCACATCTTGGATACTACATGCAGATGTGGTCGCCCCATCTCAAAAAAGATATATTGGAATTGGTAAAGGTTCAGAAAAGGGCAACAAAAATTATTAAGGGTATGGAGCATCTGCCATATGAGGAGAGATTAATAAGACTGGGACTTTTCACCTTGGAAAAAAAACAACTACATTTGATATGATAGAGGCCTATAAAATCATGACTAGTGTGGAGAAAGTAAATAAGGAAGTGTTATTTACTACTTTTCATAACACAAGAACTAGGGGTCACCAAATGAAATTAATAGGTAGCAGGTTTAAAACAAACAAAAGGAAGTATTTTTTCAAGCAATGCACAGTCAACCTGTGGAACTCCTTGCCAGAGGAAATTGTGAAGGCCAAGACTATAACAGGGTTCAAAAAAGAACTAGATAAATTCCATCAATGGCTATTAGCCAGGATAGACAGGGTGGTGTCCGTAGCCGCTGTTTGCCAGAAGCTGGGAATGGATGACAGGGGATAGATCATCTGATGATTATCTGTTCTATTCATTCCCTCTGGGGCACCTGGCATTGGCCTCTGTCAGAAGACTGGATACTGAGCTAGATGTACCTTTGGTCTGACCCAGTATGGCCGTTCTTATGTGGCTTCACTCTGCTCTTGCTCCTGCTCTTGTGGGAGAGAGGTTTATGTTGAAGGGGGCAATTGAGTATTTGACTACTAAAAACCCATTTTTCTAACCCAGAGGATCACACTTACTGACTTAAGAATTTAAGGTTGGTTCAGAAATGTAGAAGCTCTGTCTCTCCTTTCCTTCCCCAATCCTGATGCATTTT